CATGTAGCTTTAAGTTCCCCATCCCTGGCCTAAGGTCATACAACTAGTAAGTGTCTGAGGCCAGATTTGAACTCTGGGAGATGGGTCTTCCTGACTCCAGACCCTGCACTCTATCCCCTGAACCACCTAGCTGCCTGATTAGAAATGTAAGCAGAAAGTTAATTTTCAGTGATGCTGCTTCTTAAAAATAAGCATAGCTTAAAATGAAGATCTGTGCTTATTCATTATTTTAGTGACTTGTCTAAATTATTTGAAATATGTGAAAAATAGCTTCATTAAATTCCTTTCACTCTTAAATAATAAAAGCAATTCACATTAGTTATCCCTTCTACATTGCAGGGGTTAGGGGTGGGTATCCCTGCCTTCATTCCCCATAATCTGGAAAATTTGCATAAAAACTTTTGGCCCTCTCATCATAATAGAGAAGTCTGATTTTTTTCATTTTCTTTTATGCGTTGTTTACAAAAACAAAAAAACAAAAAGTACCTTTTTGTAAAATTTGGGTTAAGTATTTGGTCATAGGTTCTGTGCTATCTGCTGGCCTTCGTGTGCTGTATGTGGCTTCCTCAACACTCCCCAGAAATTCTCATTTAATTTAATATGCCAACCTTGGATATATCAAAACATAGACATGGGAAAAATTGTGATGTAGAAGAGATAACTGTAATATCGTGTTTGTATCTACTACAAAAATACTTCATATACATAATATTATCTCATTTGATACTGTGAGCTTTGTGTTCAAATGTTTGATAATTCATTATTTTACAGATGAGAAAACTGAGGCTCAGAGATGTTAAATATCTTGCCCAAGTTCACTCTTCTAGCAGAGCTATGACTTTTACTCAGGTCTTCTGACTGCAAGGTTATTTTTTTTCCCCCACTACCATAAGGAAGTGTAAAGTAACTCATGCCTACAAAGTTTAATGCTTTTTTAAAAAAAATTATTCTATAGAAAACAGGGTGGAAAAGGAAAGTGAAAACATGAAGTAAAATTCAAATGCATCATGATAATATTTCATTGGTGTGTTTGGAAAATTAGATAACTAAAATGAGCATATATTAGCAAGCCCTTTCTGGGTTTGGGTTTTGTGACATTGGGATTTGGGGAGGGGGTAAGCAGAGGGCTGAGTTTTTAAGGTATAGTGATTAATTAAAGCTTGCAATGAAGTTAACAGTACTGAATACAATACCATCATTAACAACATCATTGTATTGGCATTTGGTGCTATTAATATCGTTGACCAAAAAGCAACTTAAGTAGTGACTAATACAGAACAGAATTTTCTGTTATTTTTAAAATACTTTATGAGGAAATGATATAGTAATTGTAAAATTAATCATAAGGGAAAATATTTGAGGTTGAAATGTAGTCTGAGGAATCAAGATAATTCTTCTTCCTGATTACATCATCAGTTGTTACCAAAGGGAAATAGTTCTATTGACTGAAGACGCTGGATTATTTGCTATCAGATAGAATATAATTCCTTTGGGTTCTCCTATGGAGAAATCTGTTGAAAAATCAGCTTGTGCTCTGTCTTAAAATCACTGAGATGCTTAGGTAAACTGAAAAATTATGTAAAACATGGTGCTAGTCATAATTTTCCAAGCTTGTTTTCATAGCTTTTGATAATACTTTATATGGAACATTCAATAAATATAAGATTAATTGAAGTCTTACGAGGCCAAGTTTCACCATTGTTCTACATTCAAAATTATAGCTGATTTCAGTGGGATTTTTAAAATGTGGCATATGACCATCATTATCCATAGGTACAGGTATAGTTAATTTTGACTTTCCTATATTATTTTAAATGTAAAAAGCCAGGAAAGATAAATATTTAGATGACATGTGAAAATGCATAAGTTATTATAAGAGTTGTTTTTTCTCAATTATCAACTGTTCCCAAAGCATAATTCAGGTACTTTATGAAGCTGATATGAAACAGTATATAGGTGGTGGTGTAGTGACTGCAATTTATGCAGATTCAAAAAAAATGTTTTCTTCACTGGACGAATGTATCTCACTAATAAGTATAATACATGAAAATAATTTCATATGCATGTGGAGAACACTATTGCAATGTCACCTTTGTAGTAACATTGTATGACAGAACCAAGAAAAATCTAGTCATATTAAGAAAGTCCTGGGAAGGGAAAAGATGAGTTGAAGTCTATGTTATACATTAGAATAAATGAAGAGAATATGTATTATGCAGAAATATATGCATATGATTTTAAATGAGAATGTTAAAATGGGAACCAATAGTTTTGAGATATGAAAACCACCATTGTTATGAATGAATATTTAAAAAATTATACAATAAAGTTTTCTTCTGTATAATATAGAGCTAACCCTGATTTCTTGACAGCTGTGCTACTCCACACTAAAATTTCTGGGAGATACTACCAAGCTGGAAAGCATTGTTTTTAAGGACCATCTTAAACTCAAGGGACTTAGCATGAGTATGTAGGCCACTTAGATGAATGGAACTGATAAAGCATGGATCATAGCCACAGTGATAAAAGCATAGAATTTTTATGACATATAAAGTTAATAAATGTTTATTCAGCACACAAAAGGCAGAATGTCTTTGTGTTGTGTTACTGCTTTATAAATGTTGAAGTGAGATTTGGTAATCTATGTAGAAAACATTTGAAATATGGGAAAAGTTAATCAGGAAAATGAGGATTTTAGCCAGAGACCACTATATTGGCTGCAGAAGTGGTGAGGTAACTATGCTTAGAACAGAGGTTCTTAACTCTTTGTGTGTCACAGACCCCTTTTGGCTGTATGGTGAAGCCTACTGACCCTTTCTCAGAGTACTGTATTTACACAGGCATATGAAGGAAGCCAATTATATTGAAATTGTTATCAAAATATTTTTCAAAAAATTTGTTGACCCCAAGTTAATGACCCATAAACTTAGAAGAAATAATATTGAAAACAATGAAGGGAAAAATATAGAGAAAGGAAAGGTAGATTTGGGGTTGTTTTGTGCTTCCAACATTCTGTGCCTCTCCCTTTACCAAGTTATTTGTCTTTCAGCTGATCAGTTGAAGAATCAAATCATAAATACATTTGATCAATGTAGAAAGCATAGAAATACCAAATAATTGAAATAAACAAAACAGATCTCCATACCTTTAATGTAGAACTGGGAAGTAAAATTAAGTGGAAAGAGATAATGAAAAGAGAGAAGAACATGTAAAATTGGTGAAAGGAAAAGGAGTTGTGTATAGAGCTAGAGCACTTGAACAGAGCAACAGATTGTGTTCATAATTGTAGTTCCAGAGAATAAAATGAATCTGTTGAAGGATACTTGGTGGCTAAAGGCAAATGAAAAGTTTAGGTAATTATCTTTATCTTGAGTTACTGATTTTCTCAATACCTATGTCACTGTGGTAAAGCAGACCTATACTAATCATGTAATGTGGCAAAACATTTTAACAGGTAAGAATCATTCATCAGGTAGGGAAAATGTTTTTCATGTTATGAAAAGAACAAATCTGAATAGAAAACCATGAGGATTAGCATTTTTTCCCTAAACAGTAGATTTTCCCAGCTGATAAGTTAAAAGTTAAAATTATTTTCTTTAGTCAGTATAAAACTATGCACAATAAATGGTGACAAACACTAAAGATTAGTTGTATGTAAGCAGGATCAGGTGTCACTGACTGTTAAGTAGAGAGTCATGTTTGGGCAGCTGCCTTATTAGATAATCTTTACAAAAATATGAATATACAATTAGGCATTGAGAAGAATAGCTAGAAAATGTCTAGTCTAGAAAAAAAAAGTCAAGACTTTCTTAAGGAAACAAAATATTTATTTGGATTCAGTGTCTAATATCAAGCAACTTGTTAAGCCAAAGTCAAATTCAGATCCTAAATATTTCATTAATAGAATAGAATATTTTGAAGATGAAAAGGGCCTTTTGGGATCATCAAATCCATTCCTGTCAGTTGAAATTCTGGAAGCCCAAAGGGGTGACATGATAAAATGAAAGTTTAATTCTTTTTGTTCTGTATTTGAATTTTTTCTTGTGCCCTAAATTGAAAACATTTTTACTGCTAAGAAGAATAAAATTCTTTATAGCATTGAGTTCTTATATATTTCATGTTAAATTAATTAACATAAAGAGTTTATTTTAGTCCAAAGCTACTATAAAAATGTAACCCATTATGATAGCAATATTTAGGCCTTTCAAAAATGCTTATCATATTTCTAAGTGAAATTTTGCTCAATTAATTTTGAGGGAACTAGAAATATAAAACATTTATAATTGTATAACACAGATGCTTTCACAAGAGATGCCTATGTTTTGAAAGGCAGACTACTTTCCCCTTGCTGCTGAATGAGATGAGTCACCTGTTGAAACAAGCTAAGTCATTAGGCCAAGCTTTCATTCAGTGAGATTATGGAAAATTTTATGCACACATTGTGGTCAGATTTTTTAATGCATTTTTATATGAATCTTTAATTGTTTCAAGAATGCAAATTCATCTTATATATTTTGTTGTGAAAAATTGGAATCAGGTCTTTTGAAATTGCAGAAGCAGTGTAGCATAGGAGGATAGAATGCTTAGTTTGGTGTCAAAGAGAACTGGGTTCAAATTTCCCCTTAGACTCTTACTAACCAGCTGACCCTGGGCAAATCACTTTGCTTCTGTGTCTCAAAATTCCATAGGATTAATTTAAGTAATAGACAGGTTACAAGATTATGTGTCTTAACTACCAAGAGAAAGTTTGATTATTATACCGCTAAGATGGCTGAGGGAATTCTCATACCAGCCTTCAATTATTTGCCCTTTCTTAAAATTAAATGAATTTCTGCATAGTTATTTTTTTAATAATAAGATCTATAGGAAGTAGTATGAATATCATCTAAAATGATTTAAAGGTAGCATGGCATAAAAGTGGCAGTTTATCAAAAACAAAAACCAGAGATGTGTAACTGAAAAACTAAAGGTGTTTTTTTTTTTTAATTTATCTATTGCAGATCACTTAGAAGACTTCCACTATATTTAGCAAGAAGAGTATATGTGTTCTTACCTTTTGCAATATGAAACAAAAAGAGGAATGCTGATGGATATAAAATTACAATTTTTAAAGAATTGTGGTTTGAAAAATACTAGAGATATAATTTGTCCTGCAACAGAAGATAAAAAAAAGATTTAGTTAAAGTTATTTCTGATGCAGCTAAGAAAAATGCAGGCCATTAAAAAGGAGCAGGCACTTGTTGATACAAGTAGAAATGCGGACAAAATGGTAGTACTTAACTCTGCTCTAACTGAAGTATCCGAAGACTTGAATACAAATGAAGATATATTACTTAATGAAGGAGTTGGTGGAAAAAACAAATCTTCAGCTTGCCGGAGAAAACGAGAATTCATTCCAGATGAAAAGAAAGATGCTATGTATTGGGAAAAAAGGCGAAAGAATAATGAAGCTGCCAAAAGATCTCGTGAGAAACGTCGGCTGAATGACCTGGTTTTGGAAAACAAATTAATTGCATTGGGAGAAGAGAATGCTTCTTTAAAAGCGGAACTGCTCTCACTAAAATTAAAATTTGGTTTAATTAGTTCTACAGTGTATGCTCAGGAGATACAGAAACTCAGCAATTCTACAGCTGTGTATTTCCAAGACTATCAAACAACCAAATCAAATGTTAGCTCATTTGTGGATGAACATGAAACTTCTATAGTGGGAAGTAGTTGCATTTCTGTCATTAAACACTCTCCTCAAAGCTCTTTGTCTGATGTTTCAGAAGTGTCATTAATAGAGCATTCTCAGGAGAGTCCTATTCAGAACAATTGCAGAAGTCCTCAGAATAAGTTCCAAGACATAAAACAGGAACCCATGGAATTAGAGAGCTATACAAGAGAGTCAAGAGATGATAGAGGTTCTTATACAGCATCCATTTATCAGAACTACATAGGAAATACCTTTTCTGCTTATTCTCACTCACCTCCTCTCTTGCAAGTCAATCGATCCTCCAGTAATTCACCAAGAACATCAGAAACTGATGACGGTGTGGTAGGCAAGTCATCTGATGGAGAAGATGAGCAACAAGTCCCCAAAGGCCCAATCCATTCCCCGGTTGAACTTAAAAGCATACATGCAACAGTTGTTAAAGTCCCAGAAGTGAATTCTGCACTACCACATAAGCTTCGGATTAAAGCCAAAGCCATGCAAATAAAAGTGGAAACATTAGATAATGAATTTGATGCCACACAGAAACTCTCCTCACCTATTGATATGTCATCAAAGAGACATTTTGAACTTGAAAAGCATGATACACAAAATTTGGTACATTCTTCCCTTACGCCTTTCTCCGTGCAAGTGACTAATATTCAAGATTGGTCACTCAAACCAGAACATTGGCATCCAAAAGAACTCAATGGCAAAATTCAGAATAGTTGCAAAACTGGAGTTATTGAAATTAAAGACAATGTCTACAATGTCTCTGACTCAGAGAACTTGTATTTAAAACAAGGAATAGCAAACTTATCTGCAGAGGTTGCTTCACTTAAAAGACTTATAACTACACAACAAATTTCTGCTTCAGACTCTACTTAAGTTACTACTGAATTTGTTTTAAAGATGTCATTTGCAGTAGATCAACTTGTTTTGTATTATGCTGAATTTTCACTGGACTTGTGAGGTCATTTCACTGTAATGTTCACATGTTGTCTGATAGGTGTCTTTTAGTGCACAAATTATTATGAAGATTAGATTGTGTAATGATCACTATGCCTTGTGTATAGTCAAGTAGCCTGTGCAAAGGCTAAATATAGAACATTATTTTTTGTTGTTCAATTATTAAGTGTGCAAGTTACCGCTTACAATAAAGTATTGGTGACAAACATGGAATTTTACTCCAGTAAAGCCAATTCAGTGAAAAAGGCTTTGGTTCTGTTAAATGATGGAATAATTACACATTTAATATTTTACTTATTCCTTTGAGTTTTATCTTTTAACCAAGATAAATTTGTAATACACACTTTCCAAGGAATTTGTTTTGATTTTCCTTGAGTTTGGCTAACTCTAACCTCTCGAAAAGAAAAAAAATGAAACCCTAGAAAAGAAAAAAATACAATCTATTTTTTCTTTGAAAATTCCTTCCTTAAATGCTTGTCATTATTAATTTTTTTTCCTTTTAAGATGAACTTTTCATAACACATCAGTTGTTTGGTTTTTGTTTTTAAAGAAAGGCCCAAGTTGATTATCAGTAGCCTTGCCAGAGTCATCTCTTATAAGCAGTGTACATAGATGCAGTTAAATGAATCAGTGACATGGCTTACTATATTACTATGAGCGATAAGAAAATGGTTAAAGGGAAAATATTTATGTAATTTTCTTTGATTGTAACCCATGCAGTTCTGGCAGATGACCATCTGGGGAACTTAGCTCTTTAGTAATAAAATAAAACACCAAAATATACCTGTATTTTTAGCTTGCATACTACTTTTATATACTTTACATACTTTACAAAATTTCAAAGGACACATTAATTTCTTTTTTGTCATCATGCAGTTTGACCATACAAAAGTGTTTGACTTAACATTAACCTACAACAAGATGGGTGACCCCCCACTTTTTTTTAAACCGAATAAACACAGCAGACACGTTATTTCAGAATCAATTTAGGAAATGCCTATTTCATGAAATATACAGCAGTGGCCATGGTACCAGTCAAGGGAAAGTTAATAAGAGGTTCACCATTTCTGGATTGTTTCTTTAAGATTATCAAAAGAAATATAATGTTCATTATGTAGTACAAATTGTTTGGTTCCATTTGCAATATTTCTAAGTTATGGAACTTAAGGACATTTTGCATACTGATTTATAAGAATACTTTGTGGTTTTTATTTAATAGCCCTGTCTTCAGTTTTACATGAAACTGAAGTATTTAAGGTACCAAAAGAAGACCTAATCACTCAATCACCAAATATTTATTAAATGCCAACTCTGTGCTGAGCAATGGGGATACAAAAAGAGGTAAAAAACAGTCCCTGCCCTTGAGGAGCCTACAATCTAACTACTGGAAAATACAAAGTATTTTCAAAGTATTATTTCAGGTGATGCTCTCTTTCATTAAACTACCTGATAATTTTACTAAAAGACCAGATTCAGGGATAGGTGTTGATAGACAATGACTAATGCAGATATACTTTTTTAGGTTTACAAAGCTCTTAACAGACAATATCTTGTTTGATCTTCATAACAACTATATAAAGTAAGTGATATTTCTATCCTCATTTTATGGATGATGAAACTGAGGCTGATAGTGACTTGTCCAGGTCATCTACCTAGTAAGTATCTGAAGCAATATTTGAACTCAAGTCTTCCTGTTGCAGGTCCTGTACTCTATCCACTGCATTAACTAGATGCTTTTCTTTCATTTTAAGAGTCACTTAGGAGTAGTGAACCACAATTTATTTCTAGATAATCACAAATAGATCCAGAGTATCTTCCTTCCTTTGCTACCATAGATTTCACTATTAGTGCCAGCATAGGTCTGCATTTTCAGTCTAGTCCAAGTTAGTCAAGACTGCTAAAATCATATAAGAAATATTTCCTTAGGACAACAGTGTGGACTGTGTAGCAAGCTTCAAAGTAATGTTCAAAAAGCAGATCAATGCTAGTAGCTTACATGGAGCATAATGTCACTAAAAAGAAAAATATGAGCTCCAAATAGCCAGGTCTTATTGTTTCCCCTAAAGTATTTTGCACATAGTAGGTACTTAATAAATATTTGTTAAATTAATGAGTGTACATAGAGGAATAGAGTTAGGTGGAAATGGTGAGTAAATTTTGAAGGAGATAATTGGGGATAAGGAGAAATGATTGGTGGTTGCTAATTTATAGATAAAAGGAAAAATAAATAATTTGAAGTTTAAAAAAATACTGACTCTCAAGTGAGAGAAGAGAGACTTCAATTGTAATCATGGAAATTAGAAATCAATATTTCCAACCAAACTTGAATTATCCATTTTATCGTAACTTCAAAATTTTTGACTGTTTCTAACAATTTGATGTTTAAATTTCAACAATTTTATTTTCCTATGCCCATTTGCTGAAAGTAATTGCAATAAATAATGATATGATCAAAGTCTAACTGAGGAAAGGGGAAAAGGAAATGAAAGATTGTGGTAAAGCAATGTCTGAATATTGAGTCAACTATGTGAAAAGGTCCTTGGAATTCAATATTCATTAATGTAGAATGGGGAATGGCATGTAGGGGCAAAGGAAGGACTTTGTACTGTATTAAATAGGCATCTTCCTAGGGGCCCTGAGGTTGGGGTGTGATATAAAATCTAATATTTATATAGAACTTCAGGATTTTCAAAACACTTGAGTACGTATTATTTATGTTGATCTTCATTACATGCCGTATGAGATAGGCAGAACATTTTGTACTTCACTGTATAGAGTTTTGAGTGAAATTGCCAGGATCACACAATTGGTAAGTGAAAGAATTGAGCCATATTTCCCATAGCTTCTGTCACCTAGACCAGAGTAAAACCATCTGAATTTTTATTTCCTTTACCATTAATTTCTTCCCTTCAATGAAATTGTCCGTTGTATTTGTACCCTGAGAAAGCACTCACTTCCTTTGGCTATAAATAATGCAATTCAACTGAAATCATGACACTTAAGCAAATATTTAGCCAGGAACAATGCAATAAAGAAAATCTGTAACTTTGAAAACTGCACTAAATCTCTCACGGTCAAGACCTTATTCCCTAAACATCTCAAATTTCATGCAACATCATGTCCACACTAGATATTACTATTGTTAGTATTATTATTATTATTATTATTGGTAATAATTCACATTTAGGTTGTGCTACAAAAACTCTGAGGTAAGTAGTAGTAGTTATCTCCTTTTTATGATAGAAAAAGCATATGCAGAATGAGCTCATTATTCCAAATTTGGGGGGGAAATACATTCCTAAAAGCATGTGTTTAATACTTAAGCCCTAAGTATTAGCCATTTTTTCAGAGATCCTTAAATGTAGCCTTAGTAATAATAATCCTCAGTTTCAGAAACTTATCCATAAGTAGGCAAACAAATTATTAATTATGAAAAATACAACTCCTTACCTTATAGAACTAAATCTCTGTCTCCATTGAGCTAAGTTGTATGGCTCAAGAAAACTATGGTTACAAAAGAAAACAATAGGTAGTTTGGATGTAATAGATAGAAGTGGGCAAGTCCTGTCTCTTAACGCTTATTAACTGTATTGCCTTGGACAAATCATTTAACCTCTCAATGTCCCACACAATTTTCTAAGAGTAATATTTACAGATGAGTTGGTACAAGGGGTTTCTATGCTGTATGTCTAGACCACCTCCTTCCCTCTCTGCCCCAATAAAAGCATAGTACTAAAGAGTCCTAATTAACTTAGATCTAAAGTTTTTGTCTCTGAGCTTATTTCAGAGTCTTTTGGTCATATTTATTGTGGCTACTTTAGTAGAGATAAATATGGCTTAAGTGTATAGAAAACTGGCATTAAAGCCAAGAATACCTGTATTTAAGTCCTGCCTCTTAGGTAGACTATGATCCTGGGCAAGTCATCTAATTTCTCAGTACTCCGGGCAACAACTCAAGACTGGCAAAGAAGGTGCCAACTGTATTGGTGGAGGGAGTTTCCTTAGCTGGGAGTTCACAGAACAATAGATTGAGAGCTGGAAGAGACCCTAGGTGACAGAGGTTAAGTGACTTTCCCAGGGTCACACAGAGAAATTAAATGACTTGCCCAGGATCATAGTCTACCTAAGACCCAGGACTTAAATACAGGTATTCTTGGCTTTAATGCCAGTTTTCTATACACTTAAGCCATATTTATCTCTACTAAAGTAGCCACAATAAATATGACCAAAAGACTCTGAAATAAGCTCAGAGACAAAAACTTTAGATCTAAGTTAATTAGGACTCTTTAGTCCTAACAATAAGCAGGCTTTAAACTAAGGTCTTTCTGACTCCAAATCCAGCACTTAATCACTGAGTGATCTAACTGCCACCTAAATATAATAATCACAGCTCCAGGCCACATTTCTACTTTAATAATAACTGATATTTATAAACTGCTTTAATGCTTACTTATATTATCCCATTTGATTCTCACAACAATCCTTTGAAGTAGGTTCAACAGGCATTTTAATCTTCATTTTACAGATGAAGAAAATGAGGCAAAGAAGGAGGGGATATATTTTGCCTAAGGTCACTTAGCTTGTAAGTATTGGAGGCAGAATTAAAAAACACATTTCCCTGATTCCAAGTCTAGCTATCTTTCCACTGAACTGCCATTACCTTTCCTTTCAAGAGTCTTATAAATTGTATTCATTGTGCAAAACCATCTCTACAAATGTGAGAGGATTATATTAAATGTTTTCTAAGGTCCCTTTTAGCTCTAGATCTATGATGCTATGAACCTGTTTCAAGTGCTCTAATTAACTGAAAATTACCTTAAATAAAGCTCCCAAGACCAATAAACAAGTATTTACTGAGTGCCTACAATATGCTCTATTCTAAGTTCCAATGAATATGCAAAGAAGTATAACACCCAGCCCCTGCCTTCAAGGAGCTTACAATCAAGTTTGGTAGACAGGACATAAACATAAAAAAGATAAATAAAAAACCAAGGTAATATGAAAAGTGCTAAATGAATGAAAGAGATGGATGAAGATCAAAGATTTGGATCTGGAAGTACACTAGCACTTCATTCTACAAATGAAAAAAGTCAAATCATATGGTGTTAAGTTTTAGATATGGGATTCAAATCTAGATCAGGAGACTCTAAATGTAACACTTTTAAACAGTGAACTAATGTTCAAACGAAGGGGAGAGAACCTGTGG